AAATGTAGTCGCCTTGCCTTATGGGAAAACCCTATGGCATTTTAGTTTTTTACGGGGTTGGGTTTTTGTTTGGCTCATCCTGTAGAATTTAACAGAAAATTAATGCCCTGCGGAAGCATTCTGTAGAACGGTTAGAAAGTCCAATGGGAAGAATCTCATTCCCTACAAAATGACTATCCCACTACTGGTTTTGACTTTTGGCCCTTTTATATTCAGAATGGTTCCCATTCATTCCTCAGCCTTTCTGCTAAGTTGGCCAGCCCAGTTTGCAACAAGTGTCAATTGTGTTGGTGGTTTTTATGATGCAGACACTCATGCGTGGGGGAAAAGGCTGAAATCACTGAACTCAATGTACCTAGACTATCAAATGGCCTTCATCTGGAGGCAACTTTTGGTCATTATTGTTACAAGCTGGATTCAAACTAACCCCTACAGATAAAGGCAGCAGAACCAATTACCACTGCTATAAAACTACCCCATCCTCTTGGCTTTGCCCACTACTTTATTTTATGTCATTATCATAACACCAGCTAGGGAAAATTTGCACAATCCTTTCACAATGTTGATTTTCATTTAAAATGTATTGGAGTCAGTTTTACAATCGGTATTGATGAAACATGCACCAGTCACAAACGCTCAGCTGATATGTTGACACCTAAATCACAGCCAAGTGAGACTGAAATTGCTTACATAGTTGTGATTTCTGCCTGCTCGGCTGAATTCAGGTGGCATGTTACAATGTGTGTACAGCTAGTCTCTGTGAAAATATGCTCATTTGATAGTCACGCTTTGTCTCCCCTCTCTCCCACCCCTACCCCTACCCATCTGTTTGTTTTATTCACCTGGGATGTCTTGTCATTAACCAGGATCTTGAGTTGTCCGGGTCAGAGACGGTCTCTTTGTTACATGGGGGAGGCAGGGATAGCTCAGTAGTTTGAGCATTGGCCTGCTAAACCCAGGGTTGTGAGTTCAATCCTTGAGGGGGCCATTTAGGGATCTGGGGTAAAAATCTTTCTGGGGATTGGTCCTGCTTTGAGCAGGGGGTTGGACTAGATGACCTCCTGAGGTCCCTTCCAATCCTGACATTCTAGGATTCTATGTTTATACAGTGCCCAGCACAACAGGGCCTGCATTGTGATTGGAGCCTCTCAGTTCTATTATGTTATAAATAATTAATACTTGGGTATAAATCATCTATGCATACAAAATATTAAGTTCTCATTTCATATTTAAAAAATATTTGCATATGATTGAAATATAGTGGGTCATTATTATTATTTATTGGTAGTATCATAGTGCCTAGCTCTTGTTACACAGGTGTACGTCTGGAGTAGAACCACTGCAGTCATTGGAATTACTTAAATTTTACACTAGTGTAGCCTGACCCATTCACTGAAACGAGCACATTTGTGAAATTTCAAAGTTATTTTAATACCCATCTAAAAACAACAATGCAGCACGGGATTGGTTAATTTCCACAGGCACTCTGGTCTCCTACACTGTACTATTTTGATCTCATTCACATTTATTTTTCCGTATGTGCCACACAAATTGATTTGTATCACCATCAACAACTCCTTGCACACCCTGGAAAGCATCATTTCACTGCACCGAGGAGTCAGCCCAGGCCACAGGGAATGTGTACTTTGCAGAATGGTTTCCACCCAGATCGTGGCAAGTTCTCCCTGCTTCATTCAAGTGGCTTAATCCAGAGAGATGCTCCAAGCCAATGTGCTTGCATTGCAATGCTTTGGGACATCCTTATATGAGCATTTTCCACATTTCTCCCCCCCTCCCGCCCCTTGTATTTGCTGATAATGGTAGGTGGCGGCGATATTCCCTTTTTCGTTTTCCCTTGTGGATTGCTGTTACAGTATTGCAGAGAATACGCTCGATGTGACTCTCATGCAAAGCTCCTGCTTATACTTGGTACATTGTTTCTCAAGCCGCAAGCTCTAGGCATTGCTTGGTTGATTTTTTTTTTTTTTGAATGAATATCCAATAGCTCATTGCACCATGTGACTCCAAATAGGCTTCCAGTAGCACCAGTGTGGAACCCCACCTGCCCCATCCACAACCACGCAGGCCTGTTTGAATCCAGTGGAGATGTGCTGAGGTAAAAGAGGGTGGATTTTTAACCCTCTCCCTTTAGCAAGAGAGGTGAGGCTTGCTCTCCCAGCCACCCAGAAAGCTTCCCTGAGTCACTTTAAAGGGCAGTCAAAGGTCTTTACCGACCAGCTTTGTTACTTAGGAGGAGGAAAGAACATTTCTCCTCCGCTCCCTGGTCAGTGGCCCATTGACAAGTGCTGCAATGTGTAACCCACACATGCTGGCATGAAAGGAGAGCTCATTCAGAGTCGATATTTGCAATAAACCCTTATTAAAAGAGTCCTAGAGTATCTACAGTCATGGTCCAAACATGGGCTTCCTATCCTCCTACTGCAGGATTGCTGATGAATGCCACCAACCTATGTTCTGCACGTGTGCACACACAATTCGATTCACAGAAAGATTGTGGTGCAAAGGGAAAAGTTCCTAGCCTCTGGCAACATTTGCACCAGCACGCATCCAGTGGTGCAAAGGGGAATCCCTGTCCAGTGGTGGTGTTTGCCCCATTTTACAGACACATGCAAACACACCTGCAGAACCGTGGAAAGGAAAACTTTGCCAATTGCAGTATTTGGAAAACATAAATATATTGTGCAAGGAAAAGCTCAGGTGAGTGGGAGTACAGTATTTACAACATGCACACACAGTGGGTGTGAAGCTCAGCTGGTGGTGTATTTGTAGCATACACACACACTGGGGTGTGAAACTTTAATAGGGTGTATTTGAGGCACACATACACAGATCCTGGGTTTGGAGGAAGTCCCACTGGGGTGTATTTGCAGCACACAGTGATGTGAAGCCCTGATGTGGTGTATTTGCAGCATACACACAGCCTGGGTGTGAAAGGAAGCCCTAGTGGGGTGTATTTGCAGCGCACGCACACACACACACACACAGTTTGAAGCCACACTGGGATGTATTTGCAGTGCACACACTGTCAGTGTGAAGCCCGCAGGGGTGAATTTGCAGCACACCCACCCATCCCAGGGTTTGAAGGGAAGCCCCGCTAAGGTGTATTTGCAGCACACGCACACGCACACACACACACACACAGTGATTGTGAAGTCCACTGGGGTGTCTTTGCAGTGCACACACACACAAGTGTGAAGCCAGCTGGGATGTATTTGTAGCACACAAACACACACACAATGTGAAACCCTGCTGTATATTTTTGTAGTACACAGTGACTGTGAAGCCCACAGGGGTTGTATTTGCAGAACACACACACACACACACACTCTGAATGTGAAACCCCATTTGGGTCTACTTGTAGCACAAGCATGCGCACATACACTCAGTGAGTTTAAAGTCCCGCTGGGGTGTATTTGCAGCACACACACACACACACACACACACTGAAGCAAGCCCGCTCGGGTGTATTTGCAGCACACACACACACACAGACTGAGTGTGAAACTCCACTGGGGTGTATTTGCAGCACACACACAGAGTGTGAAGCCCCACTCGGGTGTATTTGCAGCACACACACACACACTGAGTTTGAAGCCCCACTCTGGTGTATTTGCAGCACACACATACACAGCGTGTGAAACCCCGCTGGGATACATTTGCAGCGTACACACACACACACACACACACACAGTGTGAAGCCTGCTGGGGTGTATTTGCAACGCGCGCACACACACAGTGTGAAGCCCGCTGGGGTGTATTTGCAGCACACACACACAGTGTGATTGTGAAGCCCGCTGGGGTGTATTTGCAACACACACAGTGTGAAGCCCGCTGGGGTGTATTTGCAGCACACACACACACACACACAGAGTGTGAAGCCCCGCTGGGGTGTATTTGCAGCACGCACACACACACACACACACACACACAGTGTAGAACGCCCGCTGGGGTGTATTTGCAGCACACACACACACACACACACACACACAGTGTAGAACGCCCGCTGGGGTGTATTTGCAGCACACACACACACAC